GCTGTAATTTTTCTGGAACTTCTAGGTTTAGAAGGTTCTTTTTCAAATTTTTTGATACATTTATTTATTTATTTATTTATGGTTGCATTGGGGTCTTTGTTGCTGCGTGCAGGCTTTCCCTAGTTGCGGCGAGCGTGTGCTACTATTCGTTGAGGTGCGCAGGCCTCTCATTGCGGTGGCCTCTTTTGTTGTGGAGCACGGGCTCTAGGCGGGCGGGCTTCAGCAGTTGTGGCATGTGGGCTCAGTAGTTGTGGCTCACGGGCTCTAGAGCGCAGGCTCAGTAGTTGTGGTGCACAGGCTTAGTTGTTCTGTGGCATGTGGGATCCTCCCAGACCAGGGCTCAAACCCGTGTCCCCTGCATTGGCAGGCAGATTCCCAACCACTGCACCACCAGAGAAGTCCTTAGAAGGTTCTTTTAAGCCTTTAAATTTTTGAGAAAAATTAATTCTAAAAACCATCTTATGGTTTTAATATCAATATTTAACTCCCCAATCCACCTTGAATTTATTTTTATGTGGTGAGAATACAAATTAAAAGATTTTCAAATTTTTACCAATTGTCTAATGCCAGTCACTCTCTTACTTTCTAATATTTTACAACAAAAATTCCACTGGTTGTTGGTGTTTTCTTCATGACTGAGTTTTTAAATAGAATATTTAAATTTGTAGGTACAGATTTTCATATTGATGCTTTCCTGTTTCTTGATCCAGCATGCACTATTTTAATTGCTGCAGCTTTTTATTATGCTTTAATTTTGTAATAGATTTTCGTGCCTTTGGTTTTTATCTTAGAAGGTATATCTTCGTGTTTTCTGCCAAAACGAAAATTGTGACTCTTAATTTTCTCATTTTTATACCCTTTATTTATAAATTTATGTATTATTACTTTGGCTAGAACTCACAGAATAATGTTCAAGATCAGTGGGGATAGGCTTTCTGCTTTGTTTCTGGTTTAAAGGGAAGCATTTAATGGTTCACTACAGAACTGGTTATAGTTGGTTTGAAACAGATATGCTTTAGTAATGCTGGACAAACACCCTTATTTCTTTTTTTAGAAATTTAAGAATTCACTATGAATATATTTAGTAATGGAGATTTAAAAAATAACATTGTTCTGTAAATTAGTACAGCCACTATGGAAAACAGTACGGAGGTTCCTCACAAAACTAAAAACAGAGTTGCCGTCTGATCCAGCAATCCCATTCCTGGCCATATATCTGGAAGAAACTACAATTCGAAAAGATACATGCACCCCTATGCTCATAGCAGCCTATTTACAATAGCCAAGACCTGGGAACAACCTAAATGTCCATCGACAGATGAATGGATAAAGAAGATGTGGTATATGTACAATGGAATACTACTCAGCCATAAAAATGAAATAATGCCCTTGCAGCAATATGGAGGAACCTAGAGATTATCATACTTATCAGACAAAGAAAGACAAATATCACATATCACTTATATGCAAAATCTAAAATATGACACAAATGAACAGAAACAGACTCACTGACATAGTGAACAGACTTGTGGTTGCCAAAGGGGAGGGGGGGTGGGGGAGGGATGGATTGGGAGTTTGGGTTAACAGATGCAAACTATTATATATAGAATGGATAAACGACAAGGTCCTGCTGTATAGCACAGGGAACTATATTTAATATCCTGTAATAACCCATAATGGAAAAGAATATGAAAAAGGATATATACATATATATGTATATACATATAAAACTGAATCACTTTGCTGTGCAGCAGAAATTTGCACAAGATTGTAAATCAAGTATACTTCAATAAAATTAAAAAAAATTCTTCAAATACTTTTAGTATTATTTCCCTGTGAATCATATTTCTAGATTTGTAGAACCTCATATCATTTGCAAACCTCACTCGTATGGTGCTTTACTTCCTTATTCTGTCTGCATAATGCAACTAATTTGACTTACTGTGCAGTATAGATCTTTTAATCTATTCAGAGTAACCCAATACAAATTCTGTGTAGTAGGTACACTTTCAGAACTGTGTTTTGTTTTCAACTGCAGTAGCTTTTCCTAGCTAAAAATTTCTGGTACCATCTTTCTTTTTATTATTTAGGTTTTGAGCTTTATTTTATAGTTTTATGATTATAAATGACAAAAATCAATATAATTTGGAAGTTGATGGGGTATAAATTAAATAAAAGGAATACTCATAAGCATGGAAGATTGGTCAAAAGAGTGAATGTCAGAAGAAAGAAGGAAGAGGGCTCAATGGCTGAGGGAAGTGAAGGCGGTGAAGAGAACCACTCGGACAATCAAGATCTTTTTCATTGTTCCTGTGTTTCTTCAGAGTGCTACAGTGTGCCCCCGTGCCCTATGTGCAAGCAGTTCTCCCAGAGGATGGAGGTGAGTTGACTGGGATTTTCCTACTTGAAACAAAATCTAGTGTTCTGGCTTCCCCCCCGCCCCCCCCAGAAGCCTGAGGAGGTCTTTATCCTGGTAGAAGGATAGTGATGGAGTTAGGGGAAGCAGTGGAGTCTGAGAAGCAGCTCAGCTCTGCCTTGGGCAAAACTCAATTCTTTCTTTGCAGGTGGAGCCAGGAGCACAGGTCTGGGAATTTTCCTCATTTGCCTTTTTCCTTCCCTTTCCCTGTTCTTTTATTCCAATCTCCTTTCTCCCAAAGCAGTGATCTTCCAGTACTTGCATTTCTTATTCCAGCTGTGAGAAGGAAGGGGGAGCACTTTATCTTGTGAACCATGGTCATTATGCTTTTTTCCCCCATCCACTAAGTTGATGCCTACAGCCTTCCAAATGTTGGTGAAGGAATTAGCCAGGCTGCCCTCAGCACCAGGACAGCATTTTGTGTGGAGGGTAGTAGGTCCAATAGTTACTTTCCGATTAAATAAAAGGAAACCTTTACTGTTACACATATGGTAGAGAGGATAGAAATAGCATGAGGGGGTCTCCTTTATTGTAATTTCTCAGTACACTGCGTGGAATCCCATAATATGCTAGTGGCATAGATCATGAATCCTCTTCATTATTCCCGGGCCACCTCACAAAATGGCACTATCCAGCAAAACGTTATTTAGTAGCAAAATATATTTTAATTGAAAAATCATTTTAAGTAACTGAATAAAAATGTGTATCAGGAACTTTCCCCATAGACAGGAGAATATGTACATTTTGTGAGAGTGGAGCAGCATCTATTTAATATATTTTTATATAGAAAATACAGGCATATTTAAAAAAAGAAAGTATGTCACAAGAAATAACAAAATATAACACAAAATACAAAGGTAAACCAAAAGTAACAAGTTGATTAAAACAAGACAAGACCCAGCACCGTGTTGGAATGTCTTTGTGTAAATTCTGGGATGTCCAGGACTGCCAGGAAGAGATGATCCTGCATTTTAGGAGAGCTGGTTGGTTGTGCAGTGGTTAAAAGCCAGTCCTCCTTTTCCTGGAACAACAACAACAAAAAGAGATTCAACAGAAAAGACTGAATTGAAGGGGGAACAGCTATTTGGGGGCTGATTAAAACGCAAATGAAAGTCTCAGATACCTGGGCATCATCTATGACGTTGTTTGGATGGATGGGGGCCATTCCTTGAGAAAACAAAGGGACATGGAGGGAAAGCGCTAACATATGAAAAGATGTGAGAATCAACACACTGGAGTTTTAGTCCTGGCTCTGTCACTAGTTTCCTGTTTGATAATCCGCTCATCTGTACAATGAGGGGTTTGGACTTGGTGAATCTGAAGGTCTCTTACAGCGTAAACCGTCTGTGGGTGTTTTTTTTTTTTTTTTTATAAAATTTTAAATTTATTTTTGGTTGCGTTGGGTCTTCATTGCTGTGTGTGGGCTTTCTCTAGTTGTGGCGAGCAGGGTCTACTCTTTGTTGTGGTGCGCGGGCTTCTCATTGCGGTGGCTTCTCTTGTTGCAGAGCATGGGCTCTAGGCGTGCGGGCTTCAGTAGTTGTGGTGTGCGGGCTTCAGTAGTTGTGGCACGTGGGCTCAGTAGTTGTGGCTCGTGGGCTCTAGAGCGCAGGCTCAGTAGTTGCGGCGCACGGGCTTAGTTGCTCTGCGACATGTGGGATCTTCCCAGACCAGGGCTCGAACCCGTGTCCCATGAATTGGCAGGTGGATTCTTAACCACTGCGTGACCAGGGAAGCCCCCGTCTATGGTTTTTATTTATGGCATTTGTTTAGGATTCATTTTCTGCACACAGAGATCAGAGGAAACAGTCTCTTCCTTAAGGATTGAGCTATCTGGGAAGAAAACTGGGTCAGTCTTATTCGTCATCAGAGAAGGATGCAGGATGAGGGATTTAATGAATGCCACAGGGTGTTACTCCACCAGCTGTCACAGATGCCCAGAGACTGCTCTGTCAACCAGCATTGATTGAGCATCAATTTTTGTGCCTATACTAAGTATGAGGGAGACGATCTTTAAGGCACTCAATCTCGTGGGAGATAAGGAAATAAATATTATTTGTAAACATTTATTATTTTGATTTCTCAGAAAAGCTTTCTCCCCGTCCCATTTCAGGGAATTATACTCCACTTTTCTTTCTTCAGTGAATTGCCAGTCTCTTCTGCTCTTTACCCAAAGGTGTGGTAAAAGTTTTAGCAAAATGACTTTTCACGTTAGTATAACATGACCTAACCTAGGATCACCATTGACTGATCGATCCACGGTGGCCCTTGAATCAATCTGGACTCGTGAGTTCTTCTCCTGGATTTTTTAACTGGGTCAGCACACTATTTCTGTAGATGCTGGAGTGTGACAGGTAAAATGTGGGCTCTATAAGCAGTTCTGTCCTTCCATGAGAACTGAACAGCAGAGGAAAGCACCCTGCAGCAAGAGAGCCATGGAGAAGATGCTGGAGAGAGGAGGTGAGACGGGAGGTGAGAGACTTCAGATGGCTTTCAAGAACTCAGTCTGGTCGTCCTGATGCTGAGCCAACCCACGTCTTTGGGTTCCATACACGATTCCATTATTGTGATAACAGATTCCTTTCTTTGCTTAAGCCAGTTAGATTTGCAGTAAGAGAGTCCTAGCTAGTCAGGTCTCCTAGAAAAACCCATCACAGCATAAGGAGGGGCAGGGGGGCTACTGAGGCCTCTGGGTTGACCTTTCCTTGAATGTGGGAAATGCCTCTAAGGTGAATTTGCCATCATTTTTTGGGATTCCTTTATCAACCTTTTGCATAAAAATATCTAGAAGATTGTGTTATCTTTATTAATAGACAGTATTTTAACATAAGCTGATAACTACCCTTCCCCTGGTCAAGAAAAAGCTCCTTTGACCCTTGAACAATGTCGGGGTTAGAGGCGCTGACCCTCTCAGCAGTCAAAAATTGGTGTACAACTTTACATTTGGTCAGTCCTCTGCTGTTGTGGCTCTGTATCCACAGAGTCAACCAGATCGTGTGCACTGTACTGTGGATTTATTGCAAAAAATCTGCATACAGGTAAACAAATCCATGCTGTTCAAGGGTCAACTGTATTTCGATATTAGGGAATCGCGCAAACTCTGAGTTTCCTTTTCTTATCTGTAAAATGAAGTAGTTGAAACATAAAGTCTAAAATTATAAGAATGTTACAAATATTTCCTGTTCCTTTTTGAGTCACTGTCATTCTTACTCCTTTTATTTTATTTTATTTTTTTATTTTATTTTTTTTTGCGGTACGCGGGCCTCTCACTATTGTGGCCTCTCCCGTTGCGGAGCACAGGCTCCGGACGTGCAGGCTCAGCGGCCATGGCTCACGGGCCCAGCCGCTCTGCGGCATTGGGGATCTTCCCGGACCGGGGCACGGACCCGTGTCCCCTGCATCGGCAGGCGGACTCTCAACCACTGCGCCACCAGGGAAGCCCCTTACTCCTTTTATTTTCTCTCTCTCTCTCTCTCTCTCTTCTATTCTTTGCTCTCTTTTTTCCCAGCAATTCTCTCCAGTTTGACTTCAAGTTCTTTCGACTCTGCTCTCAGGTAAAACGATCATCTTTATCTTGGAAACTTCTAAATATACTTGTACAATCCAAATTTGTCCTTTTGGGTTCAGTTTTTTTTTTTTTCTCTGCAGAGATGGCATATGTTTGAGGTGATATGAAGAAATTCATGGGCATGAGACAGATTGTTTTGTTAATTAAGTTTGTATTTAGATAGATTTTTGTCTTTGCAAGTTGACTTTGATATTCCAATCGAAATGAAATAAAAGGAAATGGAAAAATAAAAGCTCTTTTCAGTTAACTTTAAAAAATCAATATGGAAATATCCATTTGTTTTTAGTGATTCCTATAAGATGGAAGTAAATATACAAAATACAAATCTAAGTGATGTAATACCATGATGTATATTAAAAGTTTTAAAATAGAGCTGGTGATGTTCCAACATTGCAATATTTGTGAGGACAATGTTTTAATATTGAAAATATTTTGTCAATGGTATGATGCAATATGTAATCAGAATGGCATGTTACTGGCATAAAAACAGATGCATAGATCAATGAAACAGAATAGAGAACCCAGAAATAAATCCACACATATATGGTCAGTTAACTTACAACAAAACAGCCAAGAATATACAATGAGGAAAGGACAGTCTCTTCGATAAATGGTACTGGGAAAACTGGACAGCCACATGCGAAAGGATGAAAGTAGACCATTATCTTACACCATACACAAAAATCAACTCGAAATGAGTTAAAGATTTGAATGTAAGACTTGAAACCTTAAAACTCCTAGAAGAAAACATAGGTGGTAGGCTCCCTGACGTCAGCCTTGGCATGACTTATTTTGGATTTGACACCAAAAACAAAGGCAACAGAAGCAAAAATAAACAAGTGGGACTACATCCAACTGAAAAGATTTTGCACAGCACAGAAAAGCATCAGCAAAATGAAAAGTCAATCTACTGAATGGGAGAAAATATTTGCCAACCATATGTCTTGTAAGGGGTTAACATCCACAAAATATAAAGAACTCATACAACTCAAGAGCAAAAAAAACTCCATCTGATTAAAGAATGGGCAGAGGATCCAAATAGACATTTTTCCATAGAAGACATACAGAAGGCCAACAGGTAGGTACATGAAAAGAAGCTCAACATCACTAATCATCGGGAAACACAAATTAAAACTACAATTATACATCATCTCACACCTATTAGAATGGCTGTTATCAAAAAGACAAGAAATAACGAGCATTGTTGAGGATGTAGAGAAAAGGAAACCCTTGTGCGCTATTGGTGGGAATGTAAATTGGTACAGCCACTGTAGAAAACAGTATGGAGGTTCCTCAAAAAATTTAAAATAAAACTACCATATGATCCTGCAATTCCACTTCTGGGTATTTAACTGAAGAAAACAAAAACACTAACTCTAAAAGATATCTGCACCCCCGTGTTCATTTCAGCATTATTTACAATAGTCAAGACATGGAAACAACCTAAGTGTCCATCAATGGATAAATGGATAAAGAAAATATGTGTGTGTGTACACACACACACACCTACACACCACAATGGAATATTATTAAGCCATAAAAAGAATGAACTCTTGCCAACTCTGACAACATGGATGGACCTTGAGGGCATTATGCTAAGTGAAATGAGTCAAAGAATGACAAATACCGTATGATCTCGCTTGTAGGTAGAATTTAAAACCAAAACCCAAACCAAACTTATAGATACACAGAACAGGTGGGTGGTCGCCAGAGGTAGCGGTGGGGGTAGCGGGTGAGCAAAATGGGTGAAAGGAGTCAAAAGGTACAAACTTCCAGATATAAAATAAATGTCATGGGGATGTAATGTATAACATGGCAATTATAATTAGTAATGCTGTATAGCACATTTGATGTTGCTAAGACAGTAGATCTTAAAGGTTCTCATCACAAGAAAAAAATTTTATAACTATGTACATGGACTTACGTAGTTAACTAGACTTATTGTGCTGATCACTGTGCAATATATACATACAAATATTGAATCACTATGTTGTACTAATATACTAAACTAATATAATGTTGTATTACACCTCAATAAAAAAGTTTAAATTATTATTATTTTTAAAAAATTATTTCAAACTATTTCTCCTTTGATTTATTTTTGTGATAATCTTTTCTCAACTATGATATTTATCTGGTTAGAAATGAGAAACCAATTGCTAGAACATATTTTTACATAAATTTTCTTGTAGTCCGTTAAATACTGACTATATATACCATAAAAAATATGAAACAAAAATTTTGACTTTAAAAATAAACATTCCTTATCATCAATTTCAATTCTATTTTTTATTATAAACAGGAATAGAAATGAACATCAATAAAACATATTGAGTTTGTTATTTATTTGCATCCTTGCATATGAAGGGTGAAATCTTCTGTTCAAGAAGGCAGTTAACTTATTTGTTTAATTAACGCTTTTTTCTTTTTTTGGGGGGGAAAAATATGGAACGCTTCACAAATTTGCAAGTCCTCCTTACGCAGGGGCTATGCTAATCTTCCCTGTGTTGTTCCAATTTTAGTATATGTGCTGTAACACATATGTGTTTTTGAGAAATCGTTGTTTTATTTGTCAGGCCTTAACACTTCTTCGTTTGGCTTTAGTTCAAATTTAGGGAATATCTCAAAATGGATAGTTTTGGATACAAAATGCTTACATTCAAACTAGAGGTACCTTCTGGCTCTTGAGACAACTTAACTAACTTGAATTTCAGTCTCCGTAATTAAGTTACAGATCAATAGTAGTTTTTGGTTGTCTTACCTGGAACAGTCATGTCCTGTCCAAGCCGAGAGACAATGGCATCGGTTTGGTCTTACGCATTTTCCACCATTTAAGCAGGGAGACTGGCAAACAGCTGGGATGAAAAATTCATGTATTTATTTAATGAATACCGAGCAATTCTGAAGATGCCCATGAAGGCAGGCAGAATAAGATTTGACTCTGCTTTCTGCTCCAGACGCCACCATTCCTCATGGATAGCATCCTGCTACTTTGCTCAACCTCATGTCATTATGTGGTACCACCTCCCTTTTTCCTTCCAACCGAGTCCATTTTCATATTTAAGCCCCAGGTTAAGTTCTACTTACATACTGAAACCTTTGCTTATAACTCAGAGTCGACTGATTTTTCTCTTTAATCTTTTTATTTGTTCAACCAATTTGACACATACTGTTTTGAACTGTAAATTATTCAAATACTCGATGAGACTGTAAGTCTCTGGAGGGAGCCAGCACTGAACTCTATGACCGATGAAGTCATTACATCAGACATCAACTCTTACGACAACAGATCAGGCACACAGATTGTCTAGCATGACAGATGATTCAAAAGCCCTTTGTGTTTGCTAGGAAACGTATTTCATGGCTTTTACCATTGGAATTATAGAACCTGGGGTAGAGTTAAAAACTAGCCACAGGTGAAACCCTGAGTGAACACCCAGAGATTTACTAAGCAGACAACGTTCTCACAAGTCCTTAGTCTCAGAGTCAAACACTTCATCTGCATGAACCTATCTGTTAAAAAACCTAAGGACACTAAAAACTGATGAAGACCAGTCAGTTTGACGTATCAAAGAAAAAAGAAAATGTCTGTTGGGAGAAAGCTGGAAACGAGACACATTTAAGTCTCATGATTTCAGCCTCATTACAGCTTGGAAAGGGCAGGCTTCCCCAGAGGAAAAGCTCATCTTTGGTGAGCGGTAAAGAAATGTCACTTCTCTAATCACTCATTCATAAAATATGGGGAAAAACGTCAGCAATCCAGGCACTGGATAAGCACTGAGAGAGGACAAGAAGGGAAACACCAGTCTTTGTCCTTAGCTTTCTTGACGAGCAAGCTAACAGAATGAGCGTATTCGCAATATAACAAAAAGGAAATTATGAAATAAAGCAGGATTAAAAATAGCAAAAATAAAACCCAATAATCCACAACTAATTCTCCATATCTGCTTGCTAATATATATATTAAAAAATTACTCTTTTTCAAGAGCATGATGATTTAGTGGTACCTAACAAATTTTTTTATTATTTTCACTTCTCTGCCTAAAAGCCTAACACTTTCCTCCTTCCCTATAACATGGGTGCCCCCAACGTTCTATTCTGGGCCACCTTCTCATGCTACGTGTCTTCTGCAAAGACTTACTTTTTCTCCCCCATGAATGTTTTCCAATGATGACTGACATATCTCTATCTTCAACGTAGATGAGTCTTCTGGGAACCTAAACCATCATCCAATTGCCTGTCAGACCTCTCCCTTTTATGTTCCACTAGCCCCTCAAACTCAGCATGTCCTTACTTACTTAACTCCTTTTCTGTACCTTCAAACCTGTTCCTCTTGGGCTCTCTATCTCAAGGGTAGGAGCGGCACCACCTTCCACTCAGGGGCCCAAACTGGAAATATCAGTCTTGACACTCTTCAGACCTTTCCTCCTACAATACATCTATAACCAAGTAGTGTTGATTCATCTCCCTAACTTCTCTCCAATCCATCCTTTTTGGTCGTCCTCACTTCTCTAGACTTCATAACCTCTTGCCAATTCTGCTTTGATAACTCCCTAACAAGTCTCCCTAATTTAAGTCTTGGCAGTCTCCATACTGCTGCCAAAATCATTTTTCAAAAAGAAAACCTGATCACATGAGTTTCCTGCTTAAGACCCTTTAGTGGCTTCTGTGGCTCAGAAGACATAACCCAGCATCTTGAACTTGGCGTGCAACGCGCTTCCTAATCTGGCACTGCCCATCTTTACAGCTTCATTTCCAGCCACACCCCTCCACTGCCTCTGTGGCTTCAGCTCTGTTTTGCTGATCACATTTGTGCTGCTCTTCTATGCCTTTGGCTAGAACGGGCTCCTCCTGGTGACTCCTCTTCCTTTGATTCTGTGCTTGGAAAGCCTTTTCTGAATGTCTGCACTTGGGTAGTTTACCCATCTTCACTGTTGTCCTTTTAGAGAATTCAGTTAGCCTCTAGTCACCTACTTATAGGCCACTCTGTATCCCTTCTTATTTTCTACATTGGATTCTGGAGGGCAGGAGCTCCTGTTTTATACACTTTGGTATATTTAATATCAATACTTAGTGGGTATAAGTGGGATATGGGCTGAGGTAGCTGCAGCAAGATTGAAAAAAAAGACTATATGGCTCATGTCACTAAGGTGCTTAATGTCAGTTAGGGAGCTAAGGAGCTAAAAGAAATACAAATAAATCAGATCAACTGAGCTTTAAATGGCATGGTTCCAGCTAATTGTGTAATATCTATAGACATGGAATGTTAGAAGATAGATTATCGTGGTAGAGAGCAAGTTTAGGGACAAGGGGAAACTTAGGCAGGGCTTTGGAGGTTGGGTCAAGTTTCAATAGTTAGAGGAAGCCACGTCTGCAGGGGACAGGATGTAACTGGCAGGATGGGAAGTAAGGTGTATCAGGTGTGCTGACGCCAGTCTGAGAGTCAGAAGAATTTGGGCTGGATGTGAAGACAACAGGCAACCATCTTAGGTTCTTAAAAAGGGCAATTCATGCCCAAGGTAGTGTGTAATGGTGTTGTTTTGGAAGAGGAGATGGGAAGGTCAAGTAGCAGACTCTGGCGGTGATCCAAAGGAGAGGTCTTTTACTAGCTGGTGATAGTGGGGATAGAGTAAGATGCAAGAGATACTGTGCAGGAAGGAACAGAAGGAGTGCTGACACTGGTAATCTCAGATGAAGGGGAGGGAGAGTGGAGGATGTCTCCATCTGGAAGCATGATGCCACCACCTGCAGAGATAAGATGCCTGGGAAAGGGCAAGGCTGGTTTGCAGGTAGGTTCAATTTTGTATGCATGAGAAATATAGATAAATACCAAGGTTGATTTGTAATAAAGAAATACCAAATAGATTGCTGTAAGAGTTTCAAATAAAACCTTCAAATTTAGCCTCCGGTATCACATTTTTCCTTTCCTACACTCATGGATGCCTCACTTTTGGCTTTATGTGGGGTGGCTGCACGTCTGATTTTGCCTTTTTATCTTTCACTACCATTTCCCTGGCTTACTTATTAATAGTGCCCCTTTCATTCTCAAAAACGTCCCAGTCTGGAGGCTAAAATTATATGGTCACCCCAGCCTCAGAGCTCATGACAAGCTCTGGTGTCAGCCTGTTCTACTTTACAATTAACCTCACTAGGAGGTGGTACACGTATTATTTACAGGAGGAATAGTGGAGTGTTAAATAAATATAGCAAGTTCTTTGCTTTTAATAGTTGCCTGAAAATTAGGACATTAAAAAGGTCAGAAAGTCTATCATTTTAAACTGATTGATTTATTAGACAATTACTGAAAATCCTATCACATGCAGGTACTATGCTAGGTACTGAAGATATAAAGATCACAAAGGAATATCCCTGCCCTCAGGTGGCATAAAATCTAGTGAGGGCAGGGAAAGATCAATAACCAAGCAAGTAAACAGATATCAAAGTACAGTGGGATAAATGCCCGTATTTGAGATAGACAAGGGTTACTAACGGGACATGTTTGTCACCAACAAATCAACAACAGTTTGTTACTGCCTTCCATGATAAGGAACCATCTCTTGTTGAGTTTTTTCACTTTAACTTAAATTGTATTTGTTGAGAGCCTTGTTCTTTCTAGATAGGTACTGCGAATTTAGTGACTTAGCTCCATAGAGATTAAAATAAATATTCTTCCAAACTTCTGCATTATGTTTCCTCTACATTCTGCAAAATAGAGCAAATGACATGAAGAAGACTGACAACTGAGTCGACTCAGATGCTCTTTTTTGTCACACGACCCCGAGAGGTGTCTCTGAGGCAGCCATAGGTTCAGCATTGAGACCGCCATTCAAGGGACCACCTTGGGGAATGATTTAAAAAAAAAATTTTTTTTTTGGATCTTTTCAACCAAGATCCCATGCGGCATGCGGGATCTTAGTTCCCCGACCAGGGATTGAACCCATGCTCCCTGCATTGGAAGCGTGGAATCTTAACCACTGGACCGCCACAGAAGTCCCTTGAGGAATTCTTGAGAAATTCTGATACCCTTTTGTTTCGCTGCCACCTCTGAATCTAAGTCACACTCATCAGTGTCTTCTAGGGCTTCACGGAGTCAACTCACCAAGAAAACAAACCCTGAGAGGAGGCCTACCTGTGTGACAGCGGGACCCTGTCCAGCCAGATGGACAGTCACACTGATAAGGTGCCACACAGCGACCGCCGTTCAGACAGGGAAGAATGCAGATTGCTAGAAAGGAGATAAAAAAGGATTTGATCAAAACACACACACTCAGATATGTTCAAGTGTTCAAAAAACATTTTCCAGGAGGAGTAAAACCTTGGATGACCCACTAGATAATCCTCCGTATGTGCTCTATTAATCAGTATCATTGGGAAAACACAATCCAGAAAGTCAGTCCGGACCCTCTACCTGATGTAATGACTCTAATGCCAAATGCCCTCTTTCCGAGAGGACACACCATAATCGATGCCTGCTAAGTGCCTTGCTTTCTCTTCACAAACTAAGCAGAGTGTTCTCCACTTGTTATCATTTCAAATTTCCATTACAAATTACATAAAATGCTCTAAGAGGGTTTGGCTACCTCGAGATTCTCTTCTTGCCTTTAATTAAATGTGAGAATGGGAGTCAGATAAGCTCTTCCGTGGGCTGGTGTTGGCAACACATTAGTAGTGATGGGACAGCTCAGCCTTTATTTTCTTGGAGCTGAGGCCCGATGGTGACTGAATGAGGCCTCCCCTACACCCTCCACGGCAATCACTTCTCCTACTAGAAATTACTGAGCTCTGTAAAGAGGTGTAGTCTATTTAAAAGGAGTGAGACTGTCTACTGGCTTGGTACTCAAAGCACGGTTCTCAAACCCAAAACGCTGGTATTATGTAGGACTTGGCTAGAAATGCAGAATCTCAGGTCCCAACCCAGATCTACCAAATCAGAATCTGCATTGAACTTCTCCCAGGTGTTTTGTATGCACAGTAAAGCTTGGGAAGGCCTGCTCTAATGCATTACCAGCACATCTTCAGTGAACCAAGCCAAGCCTGTTGTTACCCCAGGATAAATGCTTCCCGAGTCTTTGGATCCTTAGCATTATAGCAGGCCGTGTGTGGGAGCCCTAAGTGGGGAGGCAGGATTGGAGAGAAGAGGACGGAAAAATGCAATTCTCTTCTTTCTGAATCACTGTGAGAACACCTGCTTTGGTGAGTTGTTAGCAGCCTACATTGATTTCCATCCTATATTTTCCTTTCTAGATTAGTTGAAATAGTTACAGTTTAGAATCTCTTATAAAATGGCCTTAAAAAGAACTGATATAGACCAATGGCCATCACGTTGGTGACTCAATGTGATTTACACATTCCCAGTGAAACATGAAATCATTTTATCCAGACATATATATTTTTTAAGATATTGAAACAAAGTATAGTTTAGACATTGAAAAAAATTAAAACCATTCATTTACATTCTTTTGGAAATTCAAATTTAAATGCATTTCCATGAGGATCAAAATTCTATGTTAATTTATCAAGCACTGTACAGATATGAGAGTACCAACTTTCCTTACTTTCTTAACTGGGAAGAGCTACCCTTAATTAATGGTGGGCTCCAAATCTTACCTGAAAAGTACAATGTTATGCAATGCCATGAATTTATACCAACTGTAGCAATGAGTGGCACGGAACATAAACAGAAGTGAGATAAAGGAAGACCAAGGTTGTGGAACCCTCTATTATAAGCTCCTTCCCAAGAAGGTTCTTGGAAATCTGTGCCAGGAGGCAGATGAAGACAGCTTTGGATGGATCTTGATAACTGTATTTTTCAAGATCACTGATATTCTAGATGTTCTGCAACTAAATGACATATGTAAATCAGCCCTTGGCCCTCTGTCTGGTCTGCTGTGGGATTTAAGCCAGTGAATTTCTGCCACTAGTAAAGCCAGCTCCTGGTAACTCCCCTGAGTTGGCAACTTCTAGGCTAACCACTGGGACTCAAAGTAAGATTTGAGGACAGACTCACGCTCTTCACAGAGACGCCCCATCCAGCCGTCTGGACAGGAACAAGCATTTGGGCGTTGGCAGATACCTCCATTCTGACATGGGAACCGACATACAGCTGGAAAACAAGCAGGATGAGTCATAAATCTAGGGAATTATGGAAGGGTGGTTGTCGGAAAATAGGACTGATTATTTACATTTCATGGTATTTCCTTGAATCGAGTTTTAAGGAAGAGAAACAAAACCCAATCTCAAGATTCGGTTGGGGATGAGCATGAGGGGCTCAGGAGGGGCACAAACAAGCTTGGGTAGTTCTGAGACTGTAACTATCAACATTTTCATAATTTGAGGATTCAGGGAAGGAGGGAACAAGGCGGTTTATATAAAAAGATAGTCTCTTTTGATCTGGGCCGGGGAAGTGCCCTTCTAGAAGATGCGAAAATTCTCTTCCAAAGGAGGCCTTTGATGGCCGGTAGCTCTTTGGTGATACCACTGTCCCACACTATCTTAAACAAGTGAAGAAACAAACAAACAAGTAAACAAACACACAACTTTCATTTGACTTCTGACTTTAAGTGACACCTGGGCTATTCCTTGAGGATACCACCTCCTCAGCATCCCTCTGAAGAGGAGTTTGCACATACTCTTACAACCCATGTGTTGGTGATCTCATTTCTCACTGCTGCTTCCAGACAATTAATCTCCTTTCTCTTGCAATAACCCTTGCCTCTTTTGAGGCTCATGCCTTTCATTCACTGATTTCCTCAATCCTCCCTGCCCCCAAAGTCACTGAAGACTTTGGCATTTTTGACTTAAGACATGACACCATAAAACTCCTAGAAGAGAACATTAGCAAAACATTCTCTGACATAAATTGTAGCACTATTTTCTCAGGTCAGTTTCCCAAGGCAAAAGAAATAAAAGCAAAAATAAACAAATGGGACCTAATCAAACCTATAAGCTTTTGCATAGCAAAGGAAACCACAAACAAAATGAAAAGACAACCTATGGGCTGGGAGAAAATATTTGCAAATGATGCTACCGACAAGGGCTTAATTTCCAAAATATACAAACAGCCCATACAACTCAATATCAAAAAAAACAACCTAATTTAAAAATGGGCAGAAGACCTAAATAGACATTTCTCCAAAGAAGACATACAGATGGCCAACAGGCACATGAAAAGATGCTCAACGTCACTAGTTATTAGAGAAATGCAAACCAAAACTACAATGAGTTATCACCTCACACTGGTCAGAATGGCCATCATCAAAAAGTCTACAAATAATAAACGCTGGACAGGGTGTGGAGAAAACCCTCCTACACAGTTGGTGGGAATGTAAATTGGTGCAGCCACTAAGGAGAACAGTATGGAGGTCCCTTAAAAATTTTTTTAAATTTACCATATTAGTTACCATATGATCCAGCAATCCTACTCCTGGGCATATATCCAGAAAAGACAAAAACTGTAATATGAAAACACACAAGCACCCCAGTGTTCTTAGCAGACAATAGCCAATAGCTATTAGCAGACAATAGCTGCTAATAGCCGATAGCTAATAGCAGACAACAGACAATAGCCAAGAAGCAACCTAAGTGTCCATCAACCTAAGTGTCCATATATATATGCGCGCACACACACACACACACACACACACACACACACACATATACACAATAGAATATTACTCAGCCATAAAGAAGAACGAAATATTGCCATTTGCAGCAACATGGATGGACCTAGAGATTATCATACTACGTGAAGTACGTCAGAGAAAGACAAATATTATATGATATCACTTATATGTGGAAACTAAAAAATAATACAAATGAACTTATTTGCAAAACAGAAACAGACTCAGATAAAGAAAACAAAATTATGGTTACCAAAGGGGAAAGGAGGAGGAGGAGTATGGGACTAACAGATAAACAATACTATATATAAAATAAATAAAAAGGATTTATTGTATAGCATAGGGAACTATATTCAATATCTTTTTTTTTCTTTTTGGCGGGGGGCCGCACCATGCGGGCTTGTGGGATCTTAGTTTGCCAACCAGATATTGAACCCGGGCCCTCGGCAGTGAAAGTGCAGAGTCCTAACCACTGGATCGGCAGGGAATTCCCTCAATATCTTGTAATAACCTATAATGGAAAAGAATCTGGAAAAGAATATATATACGAATCACTTTGCTGTACATCTGAAACTAACACAGTATTGTAAATCAACTATAAAATTGAAAAATCAACAATAAAATAATAAAAAAAAGACTTTGGTCTTTTTTCACCCCAAATCCAAATCTGACCACTGTCCTCACGGCCATGTGGACAACCCATCTAACAACCTGATTATTCTTTTAGTTCCTTGGTGCTGTCTGTCTTGTTCAGTGGCAGAATTCTTTACTTTCAGTATTTGTAGAATGAATGGAATAATTATTATGATTTGTAAAAAAAAAAGTAGCCTATCTTATTAGAGAAATGTAAGTTGTAGAAGGACATACTAGGATATCTCGTTATCTACCTCATTCCATTTTGCAGAATTTTCAACATAGAAACCTTCCCCCCACCCCCGAGAAGATATTATTATTGTTATTTTTAGTTTTATTTATTTATTTATTTTTGGCTGCGTTGGGTCTTCATTGCTGCGCACAGGCTTTCTCTAGTTGTGGCCAGCAGGGGCTACTCTTTGTTGCGGTGCGCGGGCTTCTCATTGTGGTGGCTTCTCTTGTTGTGGAGCCTGGGCTCTAGGTGCGTGCGGGCTCAGTAGTTGGGGCTTGCGGGCTCAGTAGTTGTGGCTCATGGGCTTAGTTGCTCCACGGCATGTGGGATCTTCCTGGACCAGGGCTCGAACCCATGTCCCCTGTATTGGCAGGCAGATTCTTAATGACTGCACCACCAGGGAAGTCCCCGAGAAGATATTGTTGAATGCACTCAAAAAAATTCATCCTTAGGTTTGCAAATTCAATCCAGCAAGTAAAGAGACAGCTCGTGTAAACATGGAATGCGCTGGGTGGGCTGCCTCATCCCTTATGGGGCTCAGGGGTCTGCTCAGGATGGACGAGTAGAACTGGAATCTGTGTTGAAAGACCTGAGTGTCCAGGAGGTGCCCTCATGGCCCAGACATGACACAGCTCCCCTTAGCAGCTGGAGAACACTTCCAAGATTTGGAGAGAAGACTTGCGTAAGGAGCCATGATTGACTCAGAAATGGGCCGTGTGCCGGGCCAGAGGTCTGTGTGCAAGCCTTCAAAAATCAAACTCATAAAGTTAAGAAAAATGACACACATGTTAAAAGAAGACTGAAAGCCAAGGAAAGATAAAATAGCATGCATACTAGTTGTTGGCAATATCAGACTGCCATATACATTTTCCTACAGCTTCAGTAAGAACTAACCATTCAAATATTTCCTTACCTCTGCAGACAGGAGGTGATGTCCAGGTTCCATTCTCTAGGCAAACACTCCTCAGGGAACCCTCCAACACGTATCCACTGTAACACGAGTAGGTGATCATGTCCCCATACTGATAATGTACACCTCGGGCAATTGCATTTTCTACATGAGTTGGTGGACCACATGAGATTTCTATAGGAAAACCAAAAATATAATTAAGCTTGTGCTACTAACCCAGCCAGCGGTTGGGAGAGGACACAGTTTCACCTCTAAGACTTAAAGAGGAAAGACAAAATACACAAAGGTAACCTTTTCACCTACATAATATCTAAAAGACACCAGAAACTAAAAGCATCACCTGCTGCTCTCTAGAAAAATCAGATGTACAATCAACGGTTTTGTCTTCTGATTCATATGTTGAAGCTGAGCTATTTTATACTCAAGGCAGTAAGTCTTGCCTTCTTATACCTCGCCAAAGAGGTATAAGAACTTCAATGCAGCATGCTTATCAAATGAGAAGAGAAGAAGCATGGGGATTACTTATAGTCCACCACTTTAGAGTAAAGATCATGAACTGTAGTACTGCAGATTCCATCCTGGCTGTTTTATTAGTGCCTAGAACAGTGCCTGGCATACAACGGGCTCTCGATACATGTTTGAAAAAATGAGTCAATGAATGAATACTGTCTCCAGCCTAAAGATACTCCATTTACACAGCTTGATGAGGTTTATGAAATTCAGGGTTTCACATTAGTTTCCCTCTTTCCAAGACTGTAAAGCAGTGACTCTCTTCTTTTGGAAAGTGTAAGACTGAAGGAGAATCCTCTCTTTTAAAAGCACATGTACTGGATATTTAAATAAAAATGTTTATACCTAATTTTGCTTTGAGAATTTTACAAGAGAATAAACTAGATAACTAGAGTTTTTCTGTGGTGTCTCACAAGACAAGGACTGGATTGGAGTCAGGACTCTCATTAGTATCCAGTTTGTATAAGGCTAACTTTTAGATGAGTCTTCATGAACTGGCTTCTAAAAGGTCACTTTGTGGTCATAATGCTATTAAAATCTTGTCAGAGGGGATGATCAATTTGTCTGATTCTTCTAAATTTTATTTTCCTTCTAAGGTAGTTAAAAACATTAATTCAATCAGTCAGATATCCAATATGTATCAACGCATACTGTGTACCAGAAACTGGAAAGAAATAAATTGAGAAAATGCTGTACCTTTGCTCAGACAAATGGGTGAAGATAGACAAAGAAATACTGTCGTACAACTTAAAAAGAGCTATATTAGATGCCATACTGTAGAAAAATTGAGGTGAATGTAACTAATTATGCTTAGGATTGTCAGGGTATGAATCACAACGGCAGTGGCCTTTGGACCAGGCTATAAAGCTTGAGTGGATCAGAGGACTACTGCTTCCAGGTTGGGGGAACAGCATGTAAAAAGATACGAGTGAGCTTGATGGTTCACAGACATGGTTGTCAAAGCACGGATTTCTGGTCACCTATGTGGGAATCAGCTTGGGTTCTTATTAAAAATGCAAACTTCTGGGCTTTCTAGCTCTTTAGTCTGTATCTTACATACTCTCCCCAGAGGATTCTCATACACACTAAATTTTAATCACTGATTTGTAGTGATAAATAGCAGGATGAGGTGAAAAGGATGAGGAAGGTGGCTGCTTTGGTCCCTCAGGAAGGATATTTGTTCTAAGCCAAAGACTTCCTGTCTAACAGAATATGCAAAAGAGGGATTGAGGACAACAACTGTGGAAACTGTCTCCTCTCCTAGGCAACCCCGGATCTTCTCAAGAATACTGAGGAATAATTAAGCATGCACTGAAGGGACATTTGTAATAAATGCATGACTCTCCTGGCTCTCGCTTCCAGTCCCCTGAGTGGTAAGTCTCCGGGAGCTAAGGCCAACGTGAGGATATGTGGGTAGAATCGTGCCACTTGGCCTGCTTTAGTTCAGGCTGATGGCTTTAAAGGAGCCTAGACAGTCAAGGCTTATACATACTTAGTTCTTCCCACTTCACTAGGGGTAGATTTCTTAAGGAGTTGGGACCCAAATCCCAGCTAAAAGTATGATACACACTTTTCTGGAGTAAAATCAAAATTCTAATGTTGCAGTAGGCTGCTAGCTGAAAATTCAAGGATTTGGGGCTATTTTACAGCTCTTCCTATCAGGACATATCACAAATATATACCAATTCATTTTTCAAAACAAACCTATAAGATAGGAATTATTGGTGCTATTTACAAATGAGAACTCCAAAGTTCAGAGAAGTTAGGGCACTAGCATAAGTTTAGAATTAGAAAGTTTTGAGGACAGAACTCAAACCCAGGTTTTCTCCGATTTCAGAATCCCCATGGCCTTCGTATGCACATTTTTTTTTTTTTTTCGGTACGCGGGCCTCTCACTGTTGTGGCCTCTCCCGTTGTGGAGCACAGGCTCCGGAAGCGCAGGCTCAGCGGCCATGGCTCACAGGCCTAGCCGCTCTGCCGGCCTGTGGGATCTTCCCGGACCGGGGCACGAACCTGTGTCTCCTGCATTGGCAGGCGGACTCTCAACCACTGCGCCACCAGGAAAGCCCCCATATGCGCATTTTAAATCTCATTAATTAAAGTGCAAGTGTTCCGAAGATGAAAACCACTGTAGGCATAACATCGTTTTATACTATGTAGCCCATTACCTCACATCTGGTTAGACTCAATGAATATTTGTTAGTTGACTGCTGTAGAGGGAGTAGCCTGGACCACAAAGGAGGGCAGGATATTGGGCAGGAAAGATGCTTTATGTGTGTTAAGAAATGTCAAGAGTTCTATAAAAAGGAATGAAATAATGCCATTTGCAGCACTAGAGATTATCACCCTAAGTGAAGTTAAGTCAGACAGAGAAAGACAAATATCATATGACATCACTTATATGTGGAATCTAAGAAATGATACAAGTGAACTTATTTATAAAACAGAAACAGACCCACAGACATATAAAACAATCTTATGGTTACTAAAGGGAAAGGAGGGGGAGGGATAACTTAGGAATTTGGGATTAACAGATACACACTACTATATATAAAATAGCGCAGGGTACTATATTCAATATCTTGTAAAAACCTATACTGGAAAAGAAGCTGAAAAAGAATATATATATAGATATTTGTAACTGAATCATTATACTGTCCACCTGAAACTAACACAACATTGTATATCTACTATACTTCAATAAAAGAAAAAAATAGCAAATGCTTATGTAAATTAAAATATTTAAAAAAGCAGAATAATGTCAAGAGTTATCACAAGGCAGCAAGAGATGCTGCCAGACTGTGTGTTAGGTATCAGCATGGTGCTAGCCCAGAGGTTTTCCAGTTGTGGTTCCAGCACCAGCAGTATTGCCATCAGCAACACCTGGGAAACTGTTAAAGATGCAAATTCGCAGGCCTCACTCCAGACCTGTTGAATCAGACACTCTAGGATGGGCCCAGCAATCTGCTTTTTAAAAAAAATTTTTTTAATATTTATTCATTTACATACGTATGCATGCATGCATGCTGCACCAGGTCTTAGTTGCAGCATGTGGGATCTAGTTCCCTGACCAGGGATTGAACCCGGTCCCCTGCATTGGAAGCACGGAGTCTTAACCGCTGGACCACCAGGGAAGTCTCCCAGCAATCTGTTTTTAACAAGCCCTCTAGGTGGTTCTCATATCCGCTCAAGCTGGAGAACCACGGTGAAATAATTTTTGTATTGCAAAGCATGCATAGCCCATTAAAGGAGAGTTTAGGGACTCTGATAGCATGGAGAAAAAAAGGTATTTTAGATTTAATATCCTGCTCACTCTTAGAAGAGCATGTTTTGAAAACCTGTTCAGTAAATTCTGGTCAGGCAGGTTTTAGTCTAGTTCTGGACTGTGTTTTTATGTTTGGATTTCAAATTAAAAAAAAAAAATTTTAAGTAGCAAGACAGAAGTTGATGACCATGATAAGACAGAGTTATAAATATCTACATGTAAGTTGCCTGATTGAAAATAATCTCCCAAAGATGAGAAAACACTTCCTACTAATGAAATTCACTGGATCCCATGTGTTGACTTACTTTCACATCTGGCACTTGTCTGTGTCCATGTCTCGTCAGGGTTGCAGGTGATGATGCTTTGGCCCTGGAGCAGGAAGCCTTCCCTACACTTGATAGATACGTTCTGATCGACATAAAACTCCTTTTCAGAAAGCACAGCATTCTCAGGGATCACAAAAGGGACAGGGCATGGATTTGCTGTTAAAAATAAAAGAAAATGTGTACTGGTATTTTCCCTCTTTTCTGAGTTTGTTTCTTTGAAGGTGGAGCATTAGCCCTGCTGGAGCTGGGTTTTCAGTAATGATAATATAAGGCTTAAAAATATAGAACTTCACCCCATCACCCTGATACCAAAACCAGACAAAGATGTCACAAAAAAAGAAAACTACAGGCCAATATCACTGATGAACATGGATGCCAAAATCCTCAACAGAATACTAGCAAACAGCATCCAAAAGCATATTAAAAGGATCATACACCATGATCAAGTGGGGTTTATCCCAGGAAGGCAAGGATTCTTCAATACACGTAAATCAATCAATGTGATACACCACATTAACAAATTGAAGGAGGAAAACCATGTGATCATCTCAGTAGATGCAGAAAAAGCTTTTAACAAAATTCAACACCCATTTATGATAAAAACTCTCCAGAAACTAGGCATACAGGGAACCTACCTCAACATAATAAAGGTCATATATGACACACCTACAGCCAACATCATTCTCAATGGTGAAAAACTGAAACCATTTCCTCTAAGATCAGGAACAACACAAGGTTGCCCACTCTCACCACTATTATTCAACAGTTTTGGAAGTTTTAGCCACAGCAATCAGAGAAGAAAAAGAAATAAAAGGAATCCAAATCAGAAAAGAAGTAAAACTATCGCTGTTTGCAGATGACAAGATACTATACATAGAGAATCCTAAAGGTGCTACCAGAAAACTACTAGAGCTAATTAATGAATTTGGTAGAGTAGCAGGATACAAATTAATGCACAGAAATCTCTTGCATTCCTATACACTAACAACGAAAAATCTGAAAGAGAAATTAAGGAAACATTCCCATTTACCAGTGCAACAAATAGAATAAAATACCTAGGAATAAACCTAGCTAAGGAGACAAAAGACCTGTATGCAGAAAACTACAAGACACTGATGAAAGAAATTAAAGATGATACAAATAGATAAGAGAGATATACCATGTTCTTGGATTGGAAGAATCAACACTGTGAAAATGAAAAATGACCCAAAGCAATCTACAGACTCAATGCAATCCCTCTCAAACTACCAACAGCCATTTTCACAGAACTAGAACAAAAACTTTCACAATTTGTATGGAAACACAAAAGACCCCGAATAGCTAAAGCAATCTTGAGAAAGAAAAATGGAGCTGGAGGAATCAGGCTCCCTGACTTCAGACTATACTACAGAGCTACAGTAATCAAGACAGTATGGTACTGGCACAAAAACAGAAATATAGATCAATGGAACAGGATAGAAAGCCCAGAGATAAACCCACGCACATATGGTCATCTTATCTTTGATAAAGGAGGCAAGAGTATACAATGGAGGAAAGACAGGCTCTTCAATAAGTGGTGTTGGGAAAAATGGACAGCTACATGTAAAAGAATGAAATTAGAACACTTTCTAACACCGTACATAAAAGTAAACTCAAAATGGATTGAAGACCTAAATGTAAGGCCAGACACTATAAAACTCTTAGAGGAAAACATACGCAGAACATTCTATGACATAAATCACAGCAACAACCTTTTTGACCCACCTCCTAGAGAAATGGAAATCAAAACAAAAATAAACAAATGGGACCTAATGAAACTTAAAAGCTTTTGCACAGCAAAGGAAACTATAAAAAAGATGAAAAGACAACCCTCAGAATGGGAGAAAATATTTGCAGATGAAGCAGCTGACAAAGGATTAATCTCCAAAGTATACAAGCAGTTCATGCAGCTCAACATCAAAAATCAAACAACCCAATCCAAAAATGGACAGAAGACCTAAACAGACATTTCTCCAAAGAAGATATACAGATTGCCAACAAACACATGAAAGAATGCTCAACATCACTAATCATTAGAGAAATACAAATTAAAACTACAATGAGGTATCACCTCACACCAGTCAGAATGGCCATCATCAAAAAATCTACAAACAATAAATGCTGGAAAGGGTGTGGAGGAAAGGGAACCCTCTTGCACTATGGGTGGGAATGTGAATTGATACAGCCACTATGGAGAACAGTATGGAGGTTCCTTAAAAAACTAAAAATAGAACTACTGTATGACCCAGCAATCCCACTACTGGGCATATACCCTGAGAAAACCATAATTCAAAAAGAGTCATGTACCACAATGTTCACTGCAGCACTATTCACAATAGCCAGGACATGGAAGCAACCTAAGTGTCCATCGACAGATGAATGGATAAAGAAGATGTGACATGTACATACAATGGAATACTACTCAGCCATAAAAAGAAACGAAATTGAGCTATTTGTACTGAGGTGGATGGACCTAGAGTTGGTCACACAGAATGAAGTAAGTCAGAAAGAGAAGAACAAATACTGTATTCTAACACAAATACATGGAATCTAAAAAGAAAAATGGTTCTGATGAACATAGGGGCAGGACAGAAATAAATTCACAGATGTAGAGAATGGACTTGAGGACATGGGGAGGGAGAATGGGACGAAGTAAGAGAGTAATATTGACATATATACACTACCAAATGTAAAATAGATAGCTAGTGGGAAGCAGCTGCATAGCACAGGGAGAACAGCTCGGTCTTGACCACCTAGAGGGGTGGGACAGGGAGGGTGTGAGGGAGACACAAGAGGGAGGGGATATGGGGATATATGTATGCATATAGCTGATTCACTTTGTTATACAGCAGAAACTAACACAACATTATAAAGCAATTATATTCCAATAAAGATGTTAAAAGAAATACCCCATAGTATTTGGTTTGGATATGCACAGATTTCTTTCTCTGGGCCAATCTCACCTATAGGTGAATTTTCCACCATGGTTTAGACATTTGGGAAACTAATTAGAAAATTGAATCTGATTTAATCCCCTCCTAAGGTCAACACACACGTTTGCAGAGAGGAACTGGGTGGCTCCAAGTCCCATTTTCCGTGCAGGAGGCCTCGGGTGCCCCTTCAAGGCTGTAGCCTCTGTTGCAGGAATACACCACGCTGGGTCCAGCAGTACTGTTTTCAACTTCCGCTTTCCCATTCAGAAACCCAAGTGGAGCATCACACTTGGTCTCTAAAAAGAAAAAAGGAAAGCTTCATCTTAAGTGATTTTCCCAATCCTCTTTCCTTCTGCAAAGAACTTGTATCACTTATTTAATAATTTAGAAAGAAAAAGAAAAGAAGACCACAGAGTAACAGGATCCATACAGAACATTTTCTTACTATCTTGCATTTCAGAGAGAGAAACTATTCAAACCATTATCATTGTAGTTTGAATTAAACCTGCTTCAAGACGGAAACAATCCCCTCACCGACACCATAGCAGTTTCCTATTCCAGACATAGGTGTTTCCTTTTCATTCTCCTCTCCTTTCACCCCTGCATGTACATTCACACACTTTTTGATAATGAACAACTGAGATAAAAAAAATGCTATTACTGGGAATGCCCAATGATGCCTTTCTGTGACTTGAGATGTTACTCAATGTTTATGTATGTGTTTATGTACACACACACACGCACACACGGTTCTTTTTTAGAACTAAAAAGTCATATTCCCCATTGAATTTCAGCCATATAATATTGCTTAAAAGACTTAAGATTCCTATTGCATACAAAATCAACTGATTAATCTGTACTAGACAGTATGGTTGAAACAACAGTGAACAAAGATTCAGGTACCCCAAGTCCTAGTGTTAGCTCTGCCACTAACTTCATTTCTGATACTGGGCAGGTCACTTTGCCCTCTCCCAGCCCGTTTTCACTCATTGGTCAACTCAAGGGTCTGGACTATATTATTCCAGAGGCCCCTTCTAGTTTGAAAATTTGATGACTCCTCCAGAATTATTAAGAGAAAAACATTATTAAGCCTGCCGTTTTGATTGATTTGTAACTATTGTATTTACGTACATTGTCTCTCGGCAGAGGAGTAATATGAGCCATATCCTAGGAACAGAGTCACCTGTGTTCACCCACATCCTGCTAAATACACTTGACTGTTCTCATACAATGAGTTAATGAAAGTTCCACGAACAGTGTGAATATTCATTTACTGGACAGTGGTACCAACATCATTTTAAGAAGATGTCAGTATTGCCCAGGACTGTTACCAAGGCAACAGCTCTAAGCCTTCTAATTTATCATTATTTTGGGGAAAAACCCATAAACAGGCAGGTAAACTCAATAATTAACTAGTTTCTAAACAAAATGTTTGCCATTCCAGGGTCAGCAATCTTGTGCTCTATTCCAGTTTAATCATTAATCTCCACCACAGTGTTTCACCCTTCTATTGGTTTGACTTACAAAAATGACTTATAAAGAAAATGTGGCCACATTGTTATCTTTGTGTCCTTAGTATCGTTTTGGGGACTAAGTGGCATTTGACTTACTTTTGCACGTCGCCACCCCTCCACTCCACTGTCCGTTCTCCTGACAGACCCGTTCCCTGTTCCCCTGTGAATCAATGAAAACAGGTCATTGACAAGATGGTACCTCTATAATGAAAAACTAAGGGAGTGCAAAGTCACCTCAGATGTGAACTTGAAACTCTGGGCACTGGAATGCTAGATAAATTCATTAAATAAATATAGTTTAAGAGGTAGGTTTAAACTTTCAAAAATGTTTTCATCAAGTTACCTCAAAATTCGTATTCTGACTGATGAGTGTAATTAAGGTACAGACTTTGTTTCACTTTTTGTATAAATGATAACTAATTATAACCAATAGCAAAGACTGATGAAGAATGTGCCTGAAATGTCAGAGAGGTATATTTGCTTAGGATACTTAAAACTATTTTGACTTAAATTTATTTTTTAATATCTGAGAGGTACAGCAAAGAAGGTGAATTAGTTTATTTATACCCTTGGACATGAAACATGTCAAGATATCTTACTGGTATCAGGATTGACTTTTTGACAATGTAACGTATACATTAAAGATAAACTTACCATATTAAGATCCCGAGCAAGTAAAATTTTATATATTTTGAGTAAAAATCTTTCTAAAATTTATTTCCCTGCCTTCAGAAATAGAGTAAAAATAATGTAATTTACTTTTAAAAATATTTATAGTTGTTATTCAATGCACTTTGGGTATATTTTCCAATATCCCATAGCCCTTGGGGGCTATACAGGCTGTCTGCGCCCCCTAGAGTTATTATGGGCTGAGCTAGGCTAAGATTACTGGGTTTTTACGTCTGGATATAATTTTTATGCGTCCTTGCTTCCTCTTTCTTTGTTGTTTATCTTTTACTGTAATCATCCGTGTTCCTAATGATAACCTCTTCCCATGTTTTAAATTCCTAATTTACTATGGAATAATAAGATAAATAAAATTCTCTAACATTATATGTTAAAAAAAAAAAAGATTAGGTTCCAAGTAATGTATTAAGGGGCTTGACTCTAAGTCAAGTATATGAACCTTAGCACATGGATTTTGTCTCATGGCTTTTCAATCCTCAGAGCTCTTTGGATACATATCCTCTTGAAGCTGTGTTCTAAATTAGCAAGATGTCTGAAAAGGAGCAATCACCTCTACTTTGGTTTTTATCTGATTGACTGATGTCTTTTATCCTTAATCTTCTATTCAAAGGTATTTACTTTGAGCTATCAGTTTAATTACTGACAAATCTTTACATATAAAAATTCCATTGACTTTGATGGAAGGATACTCTCCTGACTTTCCAAGAAAATAACTGAACCAATAAAATTAAATTTTTGAAAATATATATTATTTTCTTCTTATTGAAAAAATAATATGTTTTGACTACAGAAAGGTTGGAAAACATGAAAGAAAAGTACAAAGGATTCTAGGATTCTTCATTCAGAGATAAACCCTGTGAACATTTGCTGTACTTTTGTTGTGTTTATATACTTATGTATGCACAGGAAAATATACTATTCTAGTTTGTGAATTTCTTTATTCCTTTTTTTTTTTTTTTTTTTTTTGCGGTACGCGGGCCTCTCACTGCTGTGGCCTCTCCCGTTGCGGAGCAAAGGCTCGGGACGCACAGGCTCAGCCGCCATGGCTCACGGGCCCAGCCGCTCCGCGGCATGTGGGATCTTCCCGGACCGGGGCACGACCGCGTGTCCCCTGCATCGGCAGGTGGACTCTCAACCACTGCGCCACCAGGGAAGCCCTCTTTATTACTTTTGAGGAAGTATATGACAAGCCATCCAAGCCAGCTCCCTATTTGGGTACTTCCAGAGTGGACTACACTCAAGTAGCTAATTTTAGTCAATAGGTTAGCATTTTTCCAACTAAGATATTTTCCTTTTTCTTCCAATAATTCACATAATATTCTGTTTCAATTATGTCAATTTTTGTTCCAATAAAAACTCAACTCTATTTTGTGTAACTACTGATGTGAAAAAAAAAAAAAAAAAAAAATCAAACACCATCTGTTGGTTCCCTCCTTAGCAAGTTGCAACTTTTATCATGCTTTTCCTTCTTTCTTTTTCTCTCTCTATCGCTTTACTTATCTTGTTTTTGTTTTGTTTTTTATCCGGAGTTTTAGATCCAGATTAGCATCAAGTTACTATTTCTGACATAATGTATCTTTAATCAACAATTAAGTTAGACAGTTATAGTAAGTTTTAGAATCATAGATACCACTTTATTGCTCACTACCAGCGATTTTAGAACATGACTATCTCATTTTTGAGTTATTTTGATTTATTCCTCAGTTGCCTGTAGTGATTTTTTTTTTTAAAGTTTTTTTTTTTTTTTTTTTTTACTTTATTGCTCACTACCAGCGATTTTAGAACATGACTATCTCATTTTTGAGTTATTTTGATTTATTCCTCAGTTGCCTGTAGTGATTTTTTTTTTTTAAGTTTTTTTTTTTTTTTTTTTTTTCGGTACGCGGGCCTCCCACTGTTGTGGCCTCTCCCATCGCGGAGCACAGGCTCCGGACGTGCAGCCTCAGCGGCATAAAGGGTGCTGCTTGCCACTTTCTTTTATCTCCAGTCCTTGCAGTAACTTTGCAAAGGTGGTTATGGCATTTCTACTACAGAGGGGTTGAAACATAGGCTCAGAGAGGTTCAGTCAGTTCCCCAACATCTTTCATCCAGCAACAGCGGAGAGCCTGTAACAGAGGTCTGCTGGGACCAAGTCCCTATTCTTAACCACTTTTCCAGCCACTGACCTTTGGTATCTGAGGCACTCGTTAAAAATGCAAAAATTCAAATTCAACACTTCTTTGTTTGGTAAGACTTTTCCCTAATGGTGTGTTTTTCCATCCAGAGGCATTATAATGTCTGGGTGCCTCTATTTTTTTTTCTGACATCAGTAGCCATGATGATGATAACCTAAATCCATTAATTCATAAGAGTTGCAAATTCTGAGATTTAAATTCTATCATTATTGACTGATTTCATCTACTATTTGGTTACTTAGTCATCCAGTTAGCATTGAAAAGATACTTTTCCTCCTTTCGTTGTGTTATCAAACTAATGAATTTGCTCATGGGCATCCCCTAAAAGTTACCAACTAATTTTCTTCTAGTATTATTGTGACTCTACTGTCATTCATGACGTATTTGATGTATTTCAGTCCATTAAAATTATTACCCTTATTGATGCTAAAATGGTCTCATCTTGGCCTGTGGAAGCCTCATCCAATTGGCTCCTGAGTTTTTCTTTTAACATGTCACCTTTGATAGGTTCCTTCCTAACTCATATGATAAGCTTTTCTAGGCTAATCTTTTACATTTCATGTTCCAGACCTGGACTTGGTTATTTCTGTAAGTAACTGGACATTAATATTTAGAAAAACTTTCTCAGGTGATTCAAACATGTAGCTTGGAATAAGAATAATTGTTATAGCATCTCTCTCAATTTTGTGGTTAACACTGGGATATTTCCAAAATTTTTAAGGTAAATTATCTACTTCCTCAAATTTAATGACCCATCAGTTTGCTATATATTTGTTTAGATTTTATACCACTTTCCTTCTTAACAAATTGCAAGATTAGTACTCTCGCGTGAAGAGCAACTGAGTTTCAAAAACAGAAAAACTCTTCAACTGCAATAACCATTACATTACCATCCTTCTTTCCCCCCACCTTTTTTTTAAAAAAAAAGTCTTTTGAGGAAAATAAAACAAGATCCACCTAAGCCTAGTTCCAGCTTTCATGGACCTATCTTATGGAAATTCTCTGGTTCTATGGTCAGTAGAAAAAAAATGGAACATGCTATACACATTTAACAAATCACTGGCAATGCATACTTCTGCAAAACCTACATTTCATACAATTATAACAGCAAAACAGGAAAGAAGTTTCCCGAAAAACCAAAGGACAACATTATGTAATATAAAACAGGCCTCTTAAAGTTCAAGTTTGATAATGTGATCATGCTTTTAGCAAAACTGACTGCAGCATTCACACCAAAGTAAATAGGTGCTGCTGATGGGATTTTAATATTACAAACCAGGCAAGCGTGGTCTTGAGACCTATCATGGTATTTGGTTAGAACTGCTCTGGGGATTTTTTCAGGCCACACCTGCCTTGTGGGAACCTGGAATCTCAATCAAAAACCTTCCAAGGTATTTGGGCCCATTGCTTGAGGAAACCCTAGCTTTGTATAACTAAATTCTTATGGTTGCCTCCCCACAGTGACGGATGGACTGTGTAGAATACAATTAATAGGAGGCGAAAACACAGGTTTAAATGACCAACTAAAGTCTTGTGGCTGGTATACAGAGTTCCTCTTTTTTCATGGCTTTGATTCTTTAATTTGAGACTTACTTTGCTTTTTAAAATTGTAAGTCACTTTAAATATTTCTTAGAGAGTGCTAAAATATAAGGCAACAAAGTATAGAAAAGTCTTTTAGGACCCAAATCAGTGAAACAAAATGGCGTAACACTAAAAATATTCCTAAGTATATTGGAAAAACAAATTAATGCTAGTTAAACAATTTGTTCTCTTACCTCTAGTTCATAACCAGTTTCACAGTGATAAATAATCATGCTTTCAAAGCTGTATTCACCGCCAAACACAAACCCATGTTCTGGACTTACAGGTTTCCCACAAGAAACTGGACTGCAGGATTCATCAGAAAATGGTGGCTCCCAGGTGCCATCAATCTAAATAACAAGTTATAAGTTACATTTAGAAATTAGTACACATGAATGAAGAAATCTGCAAATATTGGTTGTAAAACAGAATAATCCGCAAATGATAGTCAGAGGACCTAGAACTTGGTCCTACTTCTGCCAGTTATTTTCTTTGGCCTTAAAAAACACACATTAATTATCAGATGGCTTTAACAGTCATCGCTAAACAATTTTAGACATTTCTGAAACTCACAAAACAAGCATTCTCTTCCTAATAGAATCCTTTAAAAAATCAAGAACACCAAAAAGTATGTTTTCATTATGATGCATGAGGACTGGATGGTAGATACAAATATTCCATGACTTACAGCAATACACCCTTCTATTTTACATAATTCTGCGTTTTAATCTAAAGTTGATGAGAAACAGCAACTTTCAGGCACACAATCCAAAGTTTAAAAAGATGGCTTCCTTTTCTCCCTTCCCAACATGAATACTTGAAAACATTCTATCATATATCGTGAGCAAGTCACATAGTTAAAGAAAAAAAAAAGACACACATACATTTACTTTATTTCCTCACCCACCACAGTTAGAATTAACATTTTCCAGCCTTCTTTTCAGGTATAGTGAGGTGTACACAGATGTTTCCCTTGAAGACTGTTATTCTCTTGCTAATGTTGTTTTGTTTTCTTTGAGGAAATAGCATATGAGTTGAATAGCTATCTGAAACAAGACTTGAGGCTAAGCCCTTTATTCTACAGATAAGCTAGAAATAATTTTATATATATATATATATATATACATATATATATGCCTGCCTCGTAATTAACCATTCCCCTAATGTCAGAAATATACACTGCATCTAATTTTTCAACACTGTAAATAATGCTTCAATAAATATATTTTTTGCACAAATGATTCTGGGTATTAACTTTTAAAAGTTACATAGTACTGTTTTCTTTGGATATATCTGGAGTTTATTTTGGTATGTATTAATTTTTTTCCCTAGTGGTTACTTCATTGTATCAGAATGATTTGTTTATTAATGATTCCTTTCTTCACTGACTTGTGATGATTCCTTTATCAGGATCTACTTTTGACTTATTTCTTCCATTCCATTCATTTCCCCTTCTACCGAATTTTACACTAATACCACACTGATAGGAGTTTGGCAATTCTAAGTAGCTTTATTAAAGTGACACAAGTAGTAAGCAGAGGCAGAATTTGACTCCAATTTATGTTTCTGCTAACTTTGCTCTTCTACTAAAACTGGAAAAATATTTGGTAAAAATTAGGCCTCATTTCTACACATAGAGAGTCTATGTGTAGACCATACACAAAGTTAATCTGTCATGAATCTCTTGTTATAGTTTAACGTTTTATTTACCTTTGGGATTTTTCACCTGCCCTTGGCACTTTCTTATTTTTAAAACTGGGACCATTGGAAAGAAAGATATATTTTATTATATTTCTACCAAAAAACTTCTCAAATTCTTTGACATGGTTGGAAACGAGACATTTTCTCTTTTCAGGACAGCAAGATACTGCCTGTGTGGATATATGTATATGTATATCTATATCCACACACTTACATATACATATATCTATATACACACACATATAGTATAATATACACTTACATATATAACCACACACACACACACACACACGCATAGTATAATATATAAATGAGTTATACCCTACATGTTCTAATTAAGACAGATAATCTTACCTGACATGTTGATATATTAACCCCCTCATAGGTATACCCTTTTGCACATGACACAGAAACTTGCTTATTCACACTGAAATCATCCCCATGAACAAGTATGTGTGTTATGCTTGCTGGCAAAGGACATTTCTTAGGACTGCAAGAGATTCTCTCAGGGAACCAACGACCATCTTTCTGACAGGTAAATGTGTCTATCTCTGTATCCATCATATAACCTTCTAGACACCTGCAATGGAAAAGTAAAAATGAGTGCCTTAAAGGGAGTGCAATATAGTTGGTGACTTATTCTTGGATTCAAGAAGCTGTTATAAAGCTTAGTAGACATTTTATGTGATGTATTAAAAATGACTCAAATGTCAGGGGGATGGAGCTGCCTTGCAAAAACACCAAGAAAACAATGACAACCAGATGAATCCTTAGTTATCCACATTAAGGATTAGCCAAGTCTAAAGTTGCTTTAAATGTTGTTGACATGACTTACCTTTGTTCTGGATAATATCATTATTAAATTTATTTTTATTATGAAAATATCTAACAGTTCAAGAAACTCTAGACGAAGTCCAAAATAGACTCAGATACTAGTAAGAATATAACACAATTAACATTTTGGGGGAATCTACTTTGTGCCAAATGAAGTCCTCTACATAGGGTGTGTCTTTTAACTCTGTTTAGTAGGTAGGTATCATGTAACAGTAGTATTGGTGTTCAAACTCAAGTCAAGCTGGCTCTAAAACCCTCTATGATTTTTAAAATTTGCATTTTTTCATTCAGCAAATGTTTACGGAGCATTTGTTAAATTCTAGTCACTGTTCTAACTGCTTTACAAATACGAACCCATTCTCATGTCAACCCTATGAATAGGTGTGATTATTTTCTTTATGCCCATTTTTCAGATGATGAAACTGACACCAGAGAGATTAAAGAACTTTCCCAGGAAGCAACAGAGCTGAGATTCCTACCTATGGAATCTGGCTCTAGAGTCCATGCTTTTTACCACTATACTATGCTGCTTTTTTAATTAACTAACATTTATTGGGTGGATATATTTTTTAAATTTCACAAGTTACCAGGCCAGGTAGCAGTCACAGGTTTTGCAAACTTGGAATGATCTGTTTACTAATAAGTGAAGATCTGAAGACAATCAACACACAAGGAAAAACGAACAGGAGAGTCTTGGGAAGCAGGTCTTATTGTGATTTCTCAAGCTATCTGAGACACCAACATCCAAATAGAAAATTGAAAATGCATAATGTCAAAAGTGAGGAATAATTTTTGTTGTTCTTCTTGGTGCATAATCCACTATTGTTTAGGTTTCATTACAGTGACAACCCTCCCTTGGGTCTATTTCTTACTGTAATTAAGAGAAAATGAAGGTAGAGCTAAAATGTCTACAACAGACAAGCTTAAGAAGAGTTATTAAATTATTAATAAAATCTAAGAAGCCAGTATGTGAAGGATAATCCATAATTCCTTCAGAGATATCAATAAAATGCAAATTGATTTAGAGGGTTGAGACATATTTACACATTACAGGCATTTATTCCAATAAAAGTCTAATTTATAAATTCATTCCATATTTTCTCATCTTTTTTTAATACTGCATTTTAAATAGAGAACTTTTCAGCAAAAATCACTACCTGTGCATTAAATGCTCAGTTTGCTCAGATAGCATGGGTTGGATGTCCCCTCAAGATTATCTCCCTATTAATGTTGACCAATTAAAGTATGTGATTTTTGACCTGAATTCTTCAGCTTTTGCCTTATTTCCCCCACATTTGCATATATGAATATAATCATTAGGTGATACCAAAGAAACCTATCAGCATAATGTTTAAAAAAGAGCCTGTGATTTAAGAGATATTAAAGCTAGCTAGAGGATCTTGCTGTTCCATGAAGTGCAACAGAATATGATAATTATATTAGGAACTACAGTCTGAAAGTGTAGAAATTTATTCTTACAAGTCAATGGATTTCTGCATAACTGTGGATAGAATAAATCCAAGTGGTAAAACTTCAGTTTTTGGACAGCAGCCCAGAGAGGGTGTTTTCTTCCCAGTCAGCTAAATTTTTGACCTATCACTTTTCATTTTACAACCCTCCTGCCTGTGCCCCTTGGAGACTCTAGAGCCATGGTCTTACCTGAGTTTCACTTTACTTCCATAGGTGTGTACCTCTCCAGTTGCCACCGCACCGGAGACAGGTGGTGGGGGTCCACAGGACAGGGGCTCGCAGACAGGATAAGGCTGGCTCCACGTCCCTTTCTCTGTACAAATCAGATCTGAACTGCCTCGGATGACGTACCCAGATCTGCAGTTGTAAGTTATCACATTTTCCTCCAAAGAGCCACTCTCACTGGTGAATGCATTTGGTATCGTTGGGGGAGAACCGCAAGAAGTGTGTTCACAGCGTGGGAAGCCAGAGCTCCATTGGCCACTGGCTTCGCAGGTGATTTCAGAAAGCCCCAGGAGCTGGAAGCCTTTGAAGCACTGAATCCGAGCTGCCTGTCCGCAACCAAAATCTGTCCTGTTGACTGCTCCATTTTGAATGACTGGTGGGGAACACGTGCAAGGCAGGCAGGAAGGTGGGCTGCCACTCCAGGAACTATTGGAGAGACACTTTCTTGAAGGACTTCCATGGAGCTTATAACCGGGAAAGCACTGATACTGTATATGCCCCCCATGATAAAAGGAGAAGCCATTAGGGAAGCCATGGGCAAGATCTTCAGGAGGGCCACAGTTGACTGGTTTACAGAGAGGAACCTGGGCATCCCAGTTACCATCTGATTGACAGATGAGTTTGGGGGCACCGTGCAACACATAGCCGTCTTGACAATGGAACACCACTTTCTTCCCGAAGCCATAGTCCAGGCCATCCATCACCCCATTTGCCACCTGTAGTGGGGGGGAACACCTGACAGGCACACAGATGGGAGTCGTCCCACTCCAACTTCCATCAGCAAGACAAACACGACTGCTGGCCCCCTCCAGCAAGAACCCTTCATCGCAAGTGTACTCAACCTCTTTTTGGAATGTATATTCCTCTCCCTTTACCTGGCCATTTGCTGAGACTGGAGGTGAACCACAGTCCACGGGAATACAAATTGGCTCATTCCTATCCCAATTTTTATTTTCCTGACACGTTCTCCTGTCAGTGCCGTTCAACACATACCCAGGATTACACTCATAGTACAATATGCTCAGGTAAGTGTAGTTGCTTCCTTTGATGGAGCCATTCATAACTAGATTTGGTTTGGGGCATGAGATGGCCTCACAGAGTGGGGAGGTACCACTCCATTCTCTATTCTGTAGACAAAGTCTTACGTCGGAGCCCACCAGAGTGTGCCCAGGTTTGCAGCTATACTGTATGGCACTGCCCATGGTAGTCTCTGTAAAATGCAAAAAGCCGTTTTCAGGAGCAACAGGCAGATCACATTCAACTGAAATGCATGATGGCGCACTGCCATTCCAAGTTCCATCCTCCTGGCAGATCAGCACAGGGTTCCCCAAGAGTTCATATCCTGGATTACAGGTGTATGAAACCAGGGTGTTGTATTGGAATTTTGCTGAATGTGTAGCAGAAGATCCCTTTGTGTTTCCCCAGGTTTTGGCCACTGTTCCCAGATGATGAGGCGGGTGAGGAGTCAGATATGGAACTTCCATCATGTCTTCTTCTTGGTTAAAATACTCCTGACCGTCTCTGACCTTAGTACAGTCTCCAAAATCAATGTGAGGGGGGAGACCGCAGTCTATGAGTACACACGTCGGGATGGAGCTTGACCATCCCGACTCTTCACAGGTCTGCATGGCGTGACCAGCTACCTGGAACCCAGGGAAACAGCTGTAGATGATCATGGCACCATAGCTGTAATCTGCGCCTTCTACGAAACCGTTTTCAATGGGATGTGGGGGATCACAGTGGATGGCACTGCAAGATGGGACATCCACATCCCAATCACCTGTCTCTAAACAAGTCAAGGCTCTGGGACCTTTGAGCCTGAAGCCCCGGTCACAAGAGTAGGTAATGGTCTGTCCATAGTGTAGGTTTGTGTAAGAGAATTTGCCATTCGAAATCTCCTTGGGCTTTGGGCACTCAATGGGTCTACAGGTTGGTTTTCTTCCAAGCCAGTGACCATTTTCCCCACAAAGAGTGGTAGAATTGCCCACCAACTCAAAGCCTGGCTTGCAGGTATAGAGAGCTGTGCTCAGATAGGCAAGACCTTGCACGTCAATGATGCCATTGAGGATTTCCTCAGGTTGGGGGCATTCTACTGGCACACATTCTGGCAGTGGAGAGCTCCAGGTGCCATCAGCCTGGCAGAAGGTGGTAGGATCTCCTCTTAAGAAAAACCCATCCACACAAGAATACTTGACAGTACTTCCAAAATGAAGAGCAGAAGAAGGGGCAGGGACACCAAAGGAGATCAGAGGAGGAGGGAGGCAAAGAACCATCTTACAAACAGGAAAAGAATCATTCCACTGCTGGGATGGCAAGCATTTCAGGACAGAGGGGCCCTGGAGGGCGTTCCCTTCCTTACAGGAAAATGTCACCACTCCCACCTCGGTGGGCAACTCCTTCAAAACCAGTTGGTTCTCCAAGAGGGGTGGCTCTGGGCACTTGGCGGGCACACACTTTTGGTTTGGCTTCTTATTCCATTTGCCAGATTTCAGGCATGTCCAAGAATGATCACCAATAAGCTCGTAACCCTCATTGCAGAAAAACTGAACCTTGGACCCTACTTCAAAATTTTCTCCTTTCCTGTAGCCATTCTGGACCGGGGGAGGTTTTCCACAGTTGAGAGGGATGCATGACAGAGGGGATTCACTGTGCCAGTGGCGATTGGCTTGGCAGACAAATACAGGACTTCCGACTGACTTATAGCCTGGGTTACACCGGTATCTCACTTCACTCTCAAAGGTCCTGCCAGCTGTATGCTGCATAACAGGGAGAAAACAATGAAGCACAATTTGTATAACACGTAATATAACTGACAAAATACAGCAAATCACAGTAAAGAAGAACTAAGCTAAAATGCCTATGTTAAAATGTATCAGTTAAGACATAAGCAAATGAGGACTTGTATTTTTCCAATAGGTCCACTCTATTTTTTTTATTTAAATAAACAAAAAGGATGGCAGAAGGTCAAATTAGGTAATCCCTACAGCAGAAATGTTGGCCACAGTGGTAAGCCCATAATAAGTAAAGATCAATAGTCTCTAAAACGACTGATGAGTTGATGGAGCACTACCAGAAATTATAAATTACTTGGTAAATTAAAAAAATCTCACCGACCAAAGCAGTGCTATAGTGTGTTGTTTTACTCACAGAAAAGGAAACATACACAAACATACATTTGTTTACGCTGTTAGATAATAAGAAAAACAAATTTTTTTATGGATATGGACCTACTGTCAGAGTTTTGTGTTCATTCTCAATATAATTTTAAAAAATTGCTGCCATAACGTAAGGGTGGAAAATAAAAAGTAATATTTTACCTTTTAAACAAAAAATTTAATATTCATACTCTCAACATTCAAATATATGTGAATAACATAATAAGAGGTCATTTTTAGGCAGTACAAAGATGAATTACTTATGAAAACTTTAAAAAAGATTGCAATGGTTCTTTTGTTAATGGTATGTCTAGCTTCTGTGGTGCAGTGAACTTCTTGGTATTTGGACATGATTATTTGTTTTGTTTATTTATCTATTCCTTGGGTACCCCACATGCATGTAAACACCATGCCATCACAGACCTAATCCGTGTTATTAAATACTAGATCTCGAGTGCTTACCCGGCACCTAGTAGGAGCTCCAGAAATATTTGTTAAATGAATAAATGAAGAAAGCCTCCTTACAATGGAAAGCTAATACATCTGAGCAAAAGTCTTAAATAAAAGGCATTCACTGTTGTTTTAGAATATAAAGGAGAAAAGGTACTATGTATGCGTGGGTTTTAAACAAGTGTTTAATTAGAATGCTGTCTCTTTAAAATGACCCTTGATTTGGGGGAACAGATTGTTATTCCTGTTTTCTTGATAGATTTAATGAGAAGACACAAAGTAACGAGAAAGGAGGATATGTGTGGATCTGACAAAACCCTTTGTCCTGATGAAATTACCTTTAGGTTCCCTGAAAGAAAACTGCAAAAACCACCTTATGGTGAATGGATGGTTTACCCTTATCTTTTGTCTAAAAATAAGAAATGATAACAGATTTCTCTAGGTTCCATTTAGACCTTGATTTCTATAAAAATAAACAATACATCCATCTTGGAGTAACTTTTTATAAATCAAAATAGTATCTCTTAAAAACTATTTTATTCTAATGCCATAGCTGGGCTAAAATATTGCCTTAAAAGTGTTTCAAGTGCCTATATGCTAGTAGAAGGTAGAAAGCTGTAGATTAAAAGGATTCATGACCGCTATCAAATTCTCTCCAATATTTACCACCAATAGACTTAGCAGCTTCTGTTATTCACCTATTAGTCTATTCGTGTCCCTGCTTCTGAATAAGCTACAATGGGCTGGCCCTGTAAACGATGAAAGCCATGGACACTTGTGAATCAGTCTCTTACCTCCAGAAAGCCATTCTCAACCTTTGGTGGTTCATTGCAAGATACAGGGTGGCATGTGGGTATGGGGCTACTCCACTGTCCCGTGGCTTCGCAGGCGCTCTTCTTCTCGCCTTTGATGTAGAAGCCCCTGTTGCAGCTATAAGCCACGACGGCTCCAAAACTGTAGTTTGATCCAATCGCATAGCCGTTCATGATGCGGGGTGGCTCTCCGCAGCGCACGGGGATGCACTGGATGGACATGGGGGAAGGATTCCACTGCCCACCTCTCAGACATTCAATCTTTGCTGAGGTGTTCAGTACGAAACCCTCTGTGCATTTGAAGCTCACAACTGAGCCTGCGGCAAATTTTGCTTTGCTCACAGATTCCAAGATGCTGTAGGAAACAGCAGGGGGTTTTTCACAAAAATGAGCTATACAACGGGGCACGGCCTGACCTTCTGGGGGAACCCACTTGCCCTGGGCATTGCAGAGGAGCTGGGAGTTGTCTGCCAGGCTGTAACCATCTGAACAATAGTAGAATGCAATGTCTCCAAATAACCGATGGGCAGTCTCTGGAGAGGCATGTTCCACACTGGGGGGCTCATCACAGGAGACAGCCAGACACTGCTGGTCACTTCTGCTCCACTTGCCATTGGCCAGGCACTCAATGGTGTCAGGACCGGCAAGGGTGTAGCTATGAGATTAGGGAGAAAGGAACAGTAACTAAGCACATTATTTGAGAAAAGGTGTTTGCATCTTCTTATTCTGCTTTTATTTTTTAAATCTTTCCACCAATAACTTTACTTTTATCCTTTATCCTTTAAAACAATATTTACTATTTGAATTTGAGCTTATTGATCAAATGACCTTCATTTAAGATATACATCTTGTTATTAATATTAGGGCTTGTTCAGAAAGGGAGGTGGATTTTGCTATTTATACTACCAAATGTAAAATAGATAGCTAGTGGGAAGCAGCCGCATAGCACAGGGAGATCAGCTCGGTGCTTTGTGACCACCTAGAGGGGTGAGATAGGGAGGGTGGGAGGGAGACGCAAGAGGGAGGGGATATGGGGATACATGTATATGTATAGCTGATTCACTTTGTTTTAAAGCAGAAACTAACACACCATTGTAAAGCAATTACACTCCAATAAAGATGTTAAAAAAAAAACTCTAAAAATTGTTACACATTTCTTTAAAAATAAAAATGAGGACTAAGCTATGGTCCTGTCTGACTCAATTCAAAGTTGGAACTTCATCTATCTATAGATGATTTCCGTTGCTCAATTTGATCACTAGTCTTTGAAACAAAAGCTCTGAGGAACCACAGGTAGCTCTGATGAACCCAGGTATCCAGTTGCTTATAATCAATGAACTTTAAAGGAGGGATTATAATTTCAATCTCCATTGTTTCCTAAACCCTTAACCATGTGGTTAGCATTAAAAGCTGTGTCTGCATATGGCTCTGCTATTCAACCAGCACGAATAAATTTTGCTTTGTTTATGCACAGGTATTTCCCCATATATGATGATAGATTGATGACTTACAAAAATCTTAATTATGCTCAAGTGCTCTCTCAATGAAGCAGAACAAAATATTAGGATACGCAGTATTAGAATAATTACATTTGAGTCATTCAGATTTTCATTCTCACTTTTGTACTGAAGAGAAAGAGGACAGGGAGTTTGAAAGGACTGTCTAACATCCGATCAGTCCGTCGCCTTGATAATAATGAAGCGTAAGGGGACTAAAATAATTTGGCACCAATTGAACCCTGTTTAGAAATACTAATTTCTTCATTTTGCAGATGAGTGAATGGTTGTTCAGACAGGCTAGGAAATCTGCTGAGAGTCACATGGGTGCAAGCAGCAGAGGTAGGATCTGAGTTTGTTTACTGGATTCCAACCCTTCTATCTTTCCCATGATGTTGCTCTATCTCTCTTCCTTTTTTTTTTTTTTTTTAGGAGATGACGCTCCCTTTGTATGTATGTATTTATTTATTTTAACATCTTTATTGGAGTATAATTGCTTTACAATGTGTTAGTTTCTGCTGTACAACAAAGTGAATCAGCTATACGTATACATATATCCCCATATCCCCTCCCTCTTGTGTCTCCCTCCCACCCTCCCTATCCCACCCATCTAGGTGGTCACAAAGCACCGAGCTGATCTCCCTGTGCCATGCAGCTGCTTCCCACCATCTATTTTACATTTGGTAGTGTATACATGTCAATGCTACTCTCACTTCATCCCAGCTTACCCTTCCCCCTCCCCGTGTCCTCAAGTCCATTCTCTATGTCTGCATCTTTATTCCTGTCCTGCCCCTAGGTTCATCAGAACCATTTTTTTTTTAGATTCCATATATACGTGTTAGCATACGGTGTTTGTTTTTCTTTTTCTGACTTACTTCACTCTGTATGACAGACTCTAGGTCCATCCACCTCACTACAAATAACTCAATTTTGTTTCTTTTCATGGCTGAGTAATATTCCATTGTATATATGTGCCACATCTTCTTTATCCATTCATTTATCGATGGACACTTAGGTTGCTTCCACGTTCTAGCTATTGTAAACAGTGCTGCAATGTCCTCTCTTTAAAAGGAGGTCGGTTAGATCACAATCGGTGGGTGTTCTGTGGAAACTGTATGGCAGTGTCATTAGTACAACTTATCTGACCTGCCCTTCAGCAAAGATTCTTAAGTCATTAGCTAGCAAACATTTCTCCTGAGGTCCCTTTTCGTTTTATAAGGAATCGGCTCTTATAGAGAGATTAGAATTCCTTCACCCATCCTGGCAAGATTTAGGAAATCTATAGGAAACAGCAAGATCAAGGAAAAAAGGATAGAGCATCATCAAAGATGTGTGTTCCTACCCTACCTACAGTCATATATCGTGCTATGGATAGAAGTGGTCTCAAAGTGAATACTCATAGCCTTCCCCAATAGCTGAGCACAGTCTCCAGTTAGGGTCTGCTGCAGTTCATTGTTGTGGAAAAGCTCAGGTCTTTGTATAAGAATCTGAGCTGAATAAATTTTTGGATGGCTTCTGTCTTAAAGGATCCAGGAAGATATACAAAGACAGTATGTTACAAGCATAATCTTATTATTCAAAATACATTGCCCTAGGTCTGAGTGCCTAGACTCTGCTACTCCTGTGTAGAATGTTCTCCATTTGTAGAGGCTCTTTTTGGGGGTCTTTTTCAATTTATCAATGTTTTGTAGTTTCAGTGTACAGATTTTTCACATCCTTGGTTTAATCTACTTTTTTTTATACAGCAGGTTTTTATGAGCTATCTATTTTATACCTATTAGTATATATATGTCAATCCCAATCCCCAATTCATCCCCACCCCACCCCCGCCAGCTTTCCCCACTTGGTGTCCATACGTTTTACCATTTTTCTAGATTGCACATATATGCATTAATATACGATATTTGTTTTTCCCTTTCTGACTTACTTCACTCTGTATGACAGATTCTAGGTCCATCCACCTCACTGCAAATAACTCAATTTTGTTTCTTTTCATGGCTGAGTAATATTCCATTGCATATATGTACCACATCTTCTTTATCCATTCGTCTGTCGATGGGCATTTAGGATGCTTCCTATAGGGGCTCTTGATGTTTTATATTTTTATAGCACAATTTACATCCTTTGCACACTTTGAACCATGCATCATTATTTTCATGGGGTCCTTTGATGTTCCTACCATATTTCATTGGCTGAAGTTTCTAGACATCACCTGAGACATCCCTGATTTACTAGGATCCATTGTGCCATCTATAGAGTGCTTCCTTTAGGTAATGGGACTGACTGCTTTGAGGCAGAAGCCTCTGCCTCCAGAATCTTCCTTATTCCTCAAAGCCTCTTGAGGACACAAGAATAGAGTTTTGCAATCTGGCAGCACTTTGTTAGGCCTCTGACCCCTGGTCTGCTGGACAATCTCCACCAATGACTCTTCCCCAACGGAAAATCACAGCAAAAAGCTCTTCTGTAATATAATGGAGGATTACCACTAACTATATGTATTTTGAATAAATGAATTTAAAGACTGCATTTTCAATACTATCCATACTTTCCTAGAATTGACACCATCCCTTTCTCTGACTTAAGAACTTGACTTTTCTTTATGATTCTCAATCAACATTTAGTTCTTCATTAGGCAATTAGGCCATGCTATGTGCAAGAATCCCTTCCCTAGTGTATAAGGCCATGTCAGTGCATGTACTTTGTGTCCCAGATGAAATAGCTTTTTTTTTTTTTTTTTTTTTTTCTTGCGTTATGCGGGCCTCTCACTGTTGTGGCCTCTCCCATTTGCGGAGCACAGGCTCCAGACGCGCAGGCTCAGCGGCCATGGCTCACGGGCCCAGCCGCTCCGCGGCATGTGGGATCCTCCCGAAACGGGGCACGAACCCGCGTCTCCTGCATCGGCAGGCGGACTCTCAAGCACTGCGCCACCAGGGAAGCCCCAGATGAAATAGCTTTTGAGGAGAGTTGTGAAAGAAGCAGGAAAGGAAGAAAAGTAACAGGAACAAAGAAATGGGAGTGTGATATAGCTGGGGACTTGTGGGGACTTACAAGTAGCTAGGAATGGCCTATGAACATCTGGAAAAGGAAGCAGTGGTCACTAGGATCTTACGTGTTTTTGACCGTTGTGATGGTTAATGGGTGAAGACGTGGCAGGCACAGATCAACTGGAAATGGTTTTTGACAGTTCCTTTGACAAGGATTCTCATAAGATTTTAGCAGAAGAAATGGTGCTAGAACAGAAAGATATTTAAGTGGTTTATTAACTGGATGACCCAAAGAGTATTGGTTAATAGAAGTAAGCTAGTTGGGTGTTTCGTACCTTCTGATGTCACAAAACTCTGTCCTTAGCCCATCAGTTTGTAAGCAACACATAACTTTGGGGTGAAGGATAAGGGTTTTAACAGGGCAGTTCAATGTTTCTAATCTTACTAGGTAATATTTAACAAAGATAAAATGGGAGGTCCTGTATATAGATAATAAAGAAAAACCGCACAAAGGGAAACCTGGCTTAGTGGCAGCCAATGTGAAAGACTTTAGTTTCCTTGAATGAGTTGAGTGAGTCAATGGTGACATCCTTAAAAGGGTTACTGCATCTTTAGAAACTCATTTATCCAGAAAGAGAAGAAGAGAAATGAAATAAATTGTCATGTTTTAAGTACCACGTGTCAGTCCCTAGACTTGGTGTTTTTATCTCTCTTGCAGTTACATTCTCATTTGCACATTCAGCTCTGGGTATCACAATTCAAAAAGGGCTATAGACCTATTGGAACAGGCTCAGAGGACAGTGACTCTGAGAGTGAACAGACTTGGAATCATGTCCATTGATGAGAAGGAGAAAGGCAGATTTGAGGCTGAGCTGGCTGAAATGTCTGTCTCCCTACACCTTCACTTCTAAAGCTGCAAGCTTGGCATCTTAACCAGAGTGTAGGATCATTTTTTAGTCATGGAAATGTTATGAAGGGGCTGGGATCCCTTACTGAAACCTCTCAATTAGCTCTAATGATCCATTTGTAGAACCTTGGGGCCAAGCTATCAATACTTGAATGGCTGGCATTTCAGAGGAGCAGAGGAATTTACACTGAGTGGCTTCAAAAATAAATAAATAAAGCCAGTGCTTTAGACTAGACAGCATATTCAGTGAAGATGGGGACAGAGGCTT